AAAAAATATAATTCTATAATAAATGTTTCAAACATTTCATTAAAATTTGGTTTTTTTTTTTCGAAAAAAGTGCATGTAGTAATTATATCTTTTGATGAGGTTATCAGACATCCACGTTTTTTATATTGAAGAGGACTAGGCTGTTGAAAGAAAATATTTTATTCAGAGACGAAGCTACATTTACAAGGAAAGGAGTTATTAGTCATCACAATACACATATCTGGGCCAATGTAAACCCTAATGCTAAAACAGTGCGTCACCATCAAATTAATTTTAAAGTAAATGTAGGGCCATTATTCCTTTCCAATAATTTAAACGGAGTAAATTCTTTGTTTTTTTTTTACATAACAATTAACCAATCGACTTAGATGTACCATCAGCCATCAGACAAAGTATGTGGTTTATGAAAGATGATGCCGCACCACACTTTAGTGACGACGACGTTAGGGCGTTTATATTTCGGCAACGTCCAGTACGTTGGATAGGAAGGGGGCCCGATTTACCAATTGAATAGCCATCGCGCGGTCCCGATCTTAATCCACTAGATTTTTATTTTTGGGGATTCATGAAAGACTATGTTTATTTCGTGGAAACACCTAGTGAACATCACTAAAAAAATTGAATTTTAGAAGCTACTAACGCATCTGAACAAAAAAAATAAATTTTTCAAAAAATACGATTTTTATTGTTAAAAGACTGTAGAATGTGGATATAGGAAAGAGGAGGTCATTTTGAACAACTGTTAAATTATTATATTTTGATCTATATTTCTATCGGGTCGGTGGTGTAGCAGTCTCAGGCGCTTATATTCATTTATAGGTAAGTTTATGGTCAGAGACAGACGGACTTCGAATCCCACACCAGTTATTTCTAAACTTAAACAAATTTAACAATAAATGTTTAAGTTTCTCTGCGTTTTGTTTTTCTAAGCTTTTCTCAGCCGGTTATTGATAGAGATAATATAAATTTAATTTAATGAAGAAAGCATTTTTTTCTCATCGAATTTCTACCAAAATTCAAAATTAAACGACTGCAAATAAACACACTATCTGTCCAAAATAGCGTAGTAGAACACTGCTAAATTGTCCACATCATATAAAGAAATGTTGGAACCTATACCATTGCATTCAATTCTTAATGGTATCTTACTATTTTTAAAAGTTACGTTGCGTACACCTTTGAACGTTAGCAGTGCTCTAAATTACAATTGAGCGACAAAATAAATTTTTCCTACAACAAATTTACGACAAAAAAACGACAAATTATCCATAAAATAACAAAATGTTATTTATTTTGATCTGCGTGATTGATAGTGCTAACTTTGGCGCGAATTTAGCATAAAGCAGTTATTTTAAAAAGTGGATGAGCAACAAATGTTCTTTTTTCGTAATAAATTTACAACAAAAAGTGACAAATTCTCCAATAATTCTACAATAAACACAGATATGGAATTAATATTAAAATTAAAAGGTAGACATTTAGCAACAAAATTTAAATTCTTTTGATTTATTGGCATACGAGATAAAATTTTAAACTTTAATAATTATTTCTTCACCCTCCAGTGATATCTGAACGACACAATTTTGCCTAAAATACTTTATAAATGGTAAAGTTTCTTATAGACTATTAAAAAAATTTACTGCTGTAGCCTCGGTTATAGCTCATTCTAAAGCGATAAAATTCGCGTTAGTCTGAAGATGTAGGCCTCTTTTAAACACGCGTTTTTGTCGTCTGTCGCGTGTCGATGAAAATTGTGGCGTTTTTGATTGAATTTTTGTTCAAGCGCTTCATTTCGCGTGTTCTTTTCATAATATAAAATAGATACACAGCCGAATCTTGGACATCCTACCTACAATAACAAAAATGGATTTATGTCTTTTGTATTTGCTATACAAACATACGTTACACTATGCATCCAATTTGTGCTAGAAACGTCATAGGCATATTTCATATACTCTGAAGAATTAAGAACAGACAATGAGACATTCTTAAATTATGACCTTATTTAAATAATTTCCTTTGATTAGCCATGTGGAAAATTAAAAAAAAATTAAAATGTGAAGTTACTTGAAAGATTTGAATTTGAAAAATTAAAAAATAAAACTGTATTGTGTTGCTAAAAAAAATAGTATATGCAACTCTCATGTAATGATTATTACATAATCGTTGCATTCATTTAATTATCCTTAGCTCCATATTTACTAATACTTATATCTCTTATGCCGACTAAATAATAAAATAAATGTAAGTGAAGCTATTAGCCCTTGTGTTCTTGAAATTAACTTGCCACGCACCTACTCGTAGTCCTATGTTACAAATATTTTCAGTTTAGCGCCTTCAAACAGACTCCTATACATTCCTGCTTTACAGCTATTTCATTACACCCTCAAAACTTAAAAGTGTTCATTTAAGATCCCTTTCTCACGACGTTTTAAAAAAAAGACAAGATAATTTTCATGATAATGTTCTTAAAACCCCATGTCAGTCCGCGAAGGTCGGACCCTTAAATGAACAGAGGCATGAAGTGCTAATAAGATTTTTTGAACCATTTCACTCTGATGAATTTTCCGCTCGTTTATTTTCAAATTTGAATAAAACAGCGTAAAACACCAGCTCGACTTCCTCTGTTTTTTGCTTTTATAACGTATAAAAAAGGGGGAAGTACCAAAAATGGTCTTTTTGCCAAATTCACATTCTAAGTAGGTAATTTATAAATATAGGTCATGCTACCCGTTTACCAAACAACTCTTGAATTAAACACTGTTGTGTTTTTTTTTTTAAACGCCGAGTAACTAATTTGTAATTATAATTTACAAGTTCTTTATCGCTCATTGAAATTGTATTGCCGGGAAAGTAAAATTTCCTTTCCAAAGTTGAAAACTATTGTTTTCTCGTTATTAGAATTGCAATCTACTATGATAGTGGTATTAACATTTAACATGCTGCATAATTTAATAAATCCATTTTATTAAAGAAAATTATTCATCGAGTGGTAAACCGCTGGAAAAATCGTGTACACTTGTACACAGTGTGCCCCAAATAGCACAGAAATAGTACTCAAATAGTACGCAAATAGTATTCGAAAAGTACGCAAATGGTATGTAAATAGTACGCGAATAGTACACAAATAGTACATAAATAGTACGCAAATAGTACGCAAATAACACGCACAGTACACAAAGTAGGCAAATAGTACATAAAATGACAGAAAAATAGATAAAACTTAGATTGTTGAGCTAAAAAACTCAGATATTAAAATTCCTTCATTTAAAAGTTTACCAGATAAAATCAAACATCTATTGCATGTACATGCATAATAACCACATAAGATCAAACTTATCCCATTTAATTTCAACTCGAAACCTCAACAAAAATCTTATTCTAGATGTAATAACTCCAAAAATATTTTTTTAAGTATGCGAAATTCTAGCACATGTATCATAATAGCGTCAGAATAGCCTTTAATAAAAATTAGTACCAATCCTGGAAAACTGAATATTCAGTAATTCAGTCCGAGTCAGTAAGAGACTGGCCTGTTGCCTATACCATTAAAAAAGTACGAGTCAGTAAAATTCAGTCAGTACCAAAATTCAAATGAAGTCTCCAAAGTTCTACATAAAGCGCCTCCTATCCGACGCTTCTCCTGCCCGACGCAAGTTTTATTTCGACGCTTCTCCATCCCGACGTATCAAACAAAGCTATACAAAATGTCTGAACTAGTAACCAGCCTACAAAATTTTCAACTGACAACACTTGAGTGTTGAAGTACAACATTAAGTACCTGAGAACTAAAATGAAAAATACGAGTGTAGAGACAGAGTTCTAGTCCGCGATGTTCAAGGCCATTAACGGGGAGAATTGCTTTGGAGCACTGTCCAAATTTGAAATCAATTTATGTTTTTAAGTCCAACATAAAGATCTAAATACCAAAAATAATTTAAAATAAAAGTGTACGAGAAATAGGAGCCTCCATTTAAATCACCTTGCAGTAAATTTCTTAATCAACTAAGAAACGAAACTATATTATGAAGATATTCAAACCCATAGATTTGCCATTTAGAAATGATTAGTTTTAAAGAATTTAACCAGTATTATTGAACTGATATTTTGTAAGCATAAGCTATAGACCTATTATTAGTTCTCAATTATTATACACTTTAAACATATATTATTTATATTATACAAGGTGTCCCATTAGTGCGTAATTGTTCAATATTTCAATTTGTGTAATTGGCACACAAACAAGTTTTAAATAAGAGTTAGATGGATTTAAAAAATACGAATTTTAAAAATATTTTTTAATATACAGGGTGTTGAGTTTTTGTCTGGCAAATAAAAATGTATATTTTTTAAACATAACATCCTGCATTTTATTTCAGTTTTAGAATGGTTTAGTAATACCGTATTCAACCCTAGAATTTTTTTTAAAAATATTACAAGGTTGCCAAGTAATTAAATATTTTATGAAGTAAGAGAATGATGCAGATCCCAAATTAAATTCTCATATTTTAGGTAGGTTTATAATGATTTCAAAATTTTTCAAAATACAGCTAACTAATAGTGCTGATAAACCTGGTTTGTTTTGTACAGAGTGTTTTGAAACATGTCCGAAATATGGTTAATTTTTAGTTCAATTTACTCAATATTTTCAAATGTAACACCCTGTATATTATTGACAATATTTTTTAAAAACGTTCTAGGATTGAATACAGTATAACCAAACCATTCTAAAATCAAATAAAATATTATTCTATTTAATAATCATACATTTTTATTTGCCAAAAATACAATATTTTTTAAAAACCTATTTTTTAAATCCATATAACTTTTATTTAAAACTTGTTTGCGTCTCTATAATACAAATTCAAATATTGAACAATTACTCACTAATGGGACACCCTGTATAAGTCACTGCTTTTTTCCCCGGGTCAAATGCTTCTGCACCTGACACCCGTCTGAAAAATCCGGAAACAACTTCTAATCAGGTTTTTCTTTTCTAGCCGCATACTTTTACGCCAGCGTGTACAAAGCAGCTGATAAAAACGGTTTCCGGTTGAGAGACGAGAACGGAAGCGGCGAGGTAATCAGGAGGTACAGAAAAGAAGGTATCACACTCACTCTTCCCGAAGGCAAAACCATTCACAACATCAAGATATTCTATTTGTGGTGCGAAGAATTCGCTGTAAGTTTTTTGTTTGAATATTTTGTTTTTCAAAAGTAAAAAAATATTTATAAATAAATTTTATCGAGTTAAATGACAACCGGTTTCGGCATCAGGCCATCATCAGATCTACAATTAAGAGAAGAAAAACTAGTATTAAACAAGTATAAAAACTATAATATTAAGTGATAATCGCACAATAAAAAATACACGTGTATGATTAAAACCGAGAACCTACCAGGGCAATGTAGTTGTAAGAAATAACATACGTCGAAAATGTGATAAAAGTGGGAAATTATATTTACAATAAACTTAACAGTGATAGAAAATGTTTCAAATAAATATATAAATTATTGTACATGTTGAAAAGGTACAGGTTCAAAAAAAAAAGGTTTGGGCAAAGAAACCTAAAGTCTTTTCGGTGCCATCCAGGTGTGTTGATCTATTTTTGAGACCATTAATATTGGTCTTTATGGGTTAATGGTTCAAATCAAACTATAGAGAAAGTATAGATAGAGAAAGTATGGTAAATTGGATGTTGATGTACGGAAGCAAGGGTCACAAAAATACAATACTGGGGAATCCAAAAGAAATAAAATAGAAAAAAGATGGTAACTGTACATAATCGAATTGGTTTCCTCGCCCTTAATATGATGATCTCAGTAAAGAACTGGAAGTCCAAGAGTCAAAAGGATATGAGGTAGGTCAAGTGGAGAACTTCCCAAAGTGAGAATAACAAAGTTAGACCATTGATCTGGAAGGGAATAACTTTGTTAAGAGTATAATTACTTCTCATTATTACGAAAAATGAACGTAAGAGTAAAGATGATGGTGTTATCACTAAAAGTTGCCTGTGTTCAGAACTATACTTTATAAATGATAATAAGAAAATTTGTAAATAACTTCCTAGAAACTACCATTTGCTATGGCGTATATTAATTCCACAAGATGGTTCCAGCACCAACATTCGTACAGAAACTAAATGGTCTATTTATTGTAAATATTGATATACAAACGGTATATAACAGCGTTGCAAGGTAGGTGATCAATGAAAATTTGCTTAGGAACTGTTAGTAGTGATAAAAAGGTAAAGAACATTGGAATAGCATAGAATAGGGTAATTCAGAGGAGAAAATTACCTCGTCAACCTTACCTAAAGAAGAAGGTTAAAATGATGATGATGGATGATGATGATTATGATGGGGATTTTTTTTAATAAAGTAATAAAGTAAAGCATCTATGATTATTACAATCTAATCATAAAGATCAATTAGCAATTTTGTTCTGATCTAACTTCATAAACTAAGATTCTACTTACTAGTATATCTTAAAGTATAATTAATTTGTTTATCTACAACTGTCATTATATGAATGTATTATATGCGTATCTAAGGCAACCTAAAGCAATCCACATATCACTAGTGAGAATATATTCATATTACACGATTTTTGTCAATTATACCCCACTAGAATTAAAAATCATTAGATCTAGTATGCGTTTGACAAGTTAGTTGACAGCATCTTGACAGTTATTCGTTGTTCCCGATTCTTTTTTGAAATTTAACTTAAAATATTAAGCCCGTTTCAAGTGTTTATCAATTAAAAAAATGGAAGACGATGATTACATGGAACTAACACCTCCTGAAATCCGCGACGGTGCTAAAGTGGCGTCGTTGGAATTATTACCTGAAATATCGAGGAAAAATTATGAGATTGCATACAACAAATTTATGTCGTGGAAACAAACAAAAAATGTATCCTCTTTTTCCGAAGACACTGTGCTTGTATATTTTATGGAAATTTTTAGTAAATACAAATCGTCTACTTTATGGACAAACTATTCCATGCTAAAAAGCATGTTAAATATCAAGCACAATGTCGACATTGATAAATATCCGAGATTACGTGCTTTGTTGAAAAGACGATCCGAAAATTACGAACCTAAGAAATCTGAAGCTCTGACTGGTGAACAAATTGAGAGGTTCATAAAGGAAGTCCCAGATTTTAAATATCTTGGAACAAAGGTAAAAACTCGAATCGAAAATCAAAATTCTTTAACTTAATCTACACATTTTTTTAAGGTTGCCTTGATTATGGGGGTCATGGGTGCTTGCCGATCCTGTGAATTAAAGAATATGAAAATTGGTGATTTAAGATGTTTTGAGGGATGTTTTCAAGTAAACGTGCCACACACAAAAACCAAAGTTCCAAGAAATTTCACAATTGTGGATAATTTTTTCAAAATCGTTAAAAAATATATAGACCTCCGGCCCGAAAATGCACCACAAGATTTTTTCTCAATTTCCAAAAAGGAAAGTGTACAAAACAAGTGATAGGAATAAACACGTTTGGCGCAATGGGAAAGCAAATTGCTACGTTTTTACAATTACCAAACCCTGAGAGATATACTGGCCATTGCCTCAGGCGTTTGTCTGCAACATTGGTTGCTGATTCTGGAGCTTGAATGACAACACTAAAACGTCATGGAAGCTGGAAATCCGCCTCCACAGCAGAAGGGTACATCGCCAATTCAAAAAAGAACAAAATAGAAACAGCTCAAGCAATTTTAAGTCAAATCAATAATCCATCATCTTCTGACAGTGATCGTCATGATTCTGTACTCATCAATAGCAACAATAATTTTTCTTTAAAAAACAATAATCTCAATGATATTACCGTAGCTATTAATATTTCAAATTGTAATGTTACTATTAATTACATCAATAAATAATTTTAAACGAGTTCCTGTATAAATTGGCATTTTATTTCATACGATGGCTTAAATACTCCTCATTTGAAAGGTCTTTTAATTGTGAACAATCTTGTCAATTCTATTTATAACAAATTCAAAGAATTTTCTAAAAATCCCCTTTTCGTTTTAGGTGAGCTCCCGTGTTCAGTTGTAGATAAAGTATAGTATTCAATTCGTGTATAATGGACCATACTACACTCGAATATTTACAACACTCGTGTAATATGGTCAACATTATATACTTATTGAATAATATACTATACACTACCGGTAACGTATAATACTAAATCGCACTATACTCTGCTTTTATCTAACATCACTGAACTAACTCAGAAGACTTTGTTCTCTTGAGTCTTCTTATTAGATTAGCAATGTTGATGAGCTGGATAACCCCAACTTTACCACGTTGGAGCAATCGATATTGGTGACTACATGCAAATTTTATAATTGTATTTTCAACAGTCTCCACTCTAATGTGCCTGTGAAGTTCAGTATTGATGCAGTATCAAGGTGCACTGACGATGTTTCTTAATATTTTATTCTAGAAACTTTGAATAACTTGAATGTTACTTTTACAGGCACAATCCCAAAGCTAGATACCATACGTATATAATAATTTTTTTTAGCAACCAATAATACATTCCTTCGTATTTTATACCAAGTTCTTTGCGTTTCTTTTTAATGTGTACTTTTCAGCGAAGTCTAGCATCAAGTGTCATACCCATATATTTTGCTGTATTGGCGAAAGGAATCTGAGTATCGTTTATTTAATTATGTTTATTCCTGAAGTTCATATATATATGTGGATTCATTCGACTTTTTTCGCCATTTTTTCATTCAGGTTTAATCTGGTCTATAGATTTTGCAATTTTCTTTTAGCGTCTTTGTGTTTTCTTCCAACAACAAGGATAGTTATATTATTAACAAATGTTGCGATAGTACTGGGCTCAAGATTAGTAATATCTCTAGTATACAAGTAAAGTACTGGGCCTAGAACACTACCTTGAGTTACTCTTGCCTTAAGTTGTCATAGGTCGTAATAGGCTTCTTTCGGTTTAATTCCAAAATGCCTTACTGATAAATAGGATTTTTATAGTTCAGAGTATTGACGTTGCAGGAACATGTTTAGTTTTTGTCATACTTTGTCGAAAGCCCGCAGCGCTTTCGCATTATGCCGCATTATATGGATGAATTGTATGGTACACTTTATATCCTTTAAATTTGATGAACGCTTTTTTTGTAAAATGTGTCAGCAATCAGACAGACATTAATTTTTTTTAATTCTAGAACTGTTTACAGCTCTTGTTGATGCTTTAGCAGTCCATTTGCGTTCTATTCAAACATTCTAATGATTGGCCATTTTAACCTTTAGGTATCGCTCCTTGAGCACGATGTTCCAATCTTGAAATGCGTTCATTCATCTTGTCCAGACTATATAAAATTCATGGGAGCGTTATATCAATAATTTTGGTGTTTTGTTGAGCTGGCAGTTGAATATATGTTCAATTCAGCTACATGGCTATATGTTTTGTTTTCATTATCTATTTTAGTTGTTGTTTATGTTTCTTTTTTATTAATATTTGATGTTTTATTTTTATTAATAATATATTGCCTGTTATCCTGATGGGGTTGCCAAGGCAAGTTGGGCTTCTTCGTTTGCTTGTTTTCTATTCTTTTGAAATTTTTTGGCTACAATGTATCCGCGGTAATTAGCAAGGTGGACTTCTCTACAATGTACACACTTGGTTCCTTTGAACAATATTTTTATGTAGGTTGGCTGAATATAAATTCTTATACTCATATCTTTTATACTAATTTAGTCTCTTATTAAATAACTTAACTTAAAATAGAATAAATATTATTTGCTCTATTATATGTTTTTACTGTCAGTGAACTTCTCAATGATGTGCTTAATAAATATCGAGAAATGTTTACCGTGTCACGATCCACTAATTAAGTAATAAATTTATAAATAAATAAACAAAATCGATTATGTATAACTTCAATTTTTATAAAGAGCAAGGAAATATCATTCGCGTGAAATATGAAATCAACGTTGGTAAATTACTCCTTATGCCACTAATCAAAATCGTAAATCAGTCGATAATATTTAATAACAGTCATTAAAGCCACGTCTAAATACTAAGGAAAATGTACAATTGAGAGGATCACGTTTCACAATGATTCCTCGTTATTGATAAATCTTCACGATTCATTCACAAGTATAAAGGATATTGTTTGGTAAACGAAACAAATGGCTTTCTATCTT